AGAAAAGCACTTTAAATTCATTCAGTTTTTTTTGTTTGATATTTAGATAATTTTTTTTTGTTATATTGAAAGTAAAAATAAAAATGATATTATCAAGAATGTTTTTTGAATAATCTTTAGTAACAATTTTATAGGAGTAGAAATGTATATTGTTTCAAAAAGGAAGTAATTTGTTTTGTTTTTTTGGAAATATTTTGAAAGAGTATTTTTAAGTCATTTCGTTCATTCCAATTTTAGAATGTGTTAAATGATGATCTAATAATTCATCTCACTTCATTAAATGTCACAAACCAAGAAAGAAGAATGTACTAACTTTTCTCTTTCAAAGCACAAAGATGTTGATAAGTTGAGTGAACAAATCAAAAGTTTTTTGTTAGACCATGATTTAAGTTTAGAAGTTAAACTTAAACCAAAAAGGCTTCCATGTGATGATTATCAAATAACAAATGTTCACAATGGATTTATTAATAAACAAAATACATTTTCTATTGTTTCTAAGGAACAAGATGAAACAGTAAAATTAGAAGTTGAAATTACAAATTTCAAAAAAGAAAAAGTTGAATATGAAATAATTCAAAATGGATTGTTTGAGCATAAAGTATTTTTTACTCCAAAAGTGATTGGAGAGCATTTGATTATTGTTTCTGTTGATGGGTATTCTCTTCCTCCTATTTCATTAATTATAGAAGATGTTATTGATATTTCTCAATGTTGGATAGATGGAAAAATCAAAGAAGGTGGGTTACTTCAAGCAGAAAAAGCTATAGGTCAACTTCATATGATTGGGGAATCTGGATCTCCTTTTGAAGGGGAATGTACAACTACAATAAGTTGTTTTACACCAAACAATAAAGAAATAAAAGGTCAAGTTAAAAAAGGAGAGCATGGAACTTATACATTAGAATGTGAAATTAACAAAAGAGGAACTTATACATTTGATATTTGGATTAATAATAAAAGAATTAAAGCATTATTATTCAATACTAATTTCATACTTCCTATTTGTCCATCTAAATGTCTTATTTCAGGTAAAGGAATGGAAGAAATAAAAACTATCAAAATGACAAAGATAGTAGAATTTACGATTCAAACAAAAGATAAAAATGGAGATTGTTTGTTAGAAGGAGGAAATGAATTTAATATTCACATAACAGATCCTAAAAAGCAAGTGATACCTTGTGAGTGCATTGATAATAACGATGGTACTTATACTTGTAAATACACTCCATCATGTCCTGGAAAATATCAAATTGAGATTCAATATCAAACAAAACCTTTAGCCCAATCACCTTATTCAATTATAATTGAAGATGAGTATGAAGAAGAAAGTGCTCAATGTTGTTTGAAAGTTCATCTCATTATTGCTTTTGTTATATGTATTCTAGCAATGATTTATAAAGTAAGTCATCCAAAAATGATGTGTCTAGAATAGAGTACTCTTGATTTTTAATTCACTAAATTTTTTGTTATTTTAAGTCTCAAAAAAAAAACAAAATTTTTAATAAACATTTTTTGTTTGTTTTAACATAAATAAAATATTTCTAAAAAGTAATAGTAAAATTTTAATAAAATAATAGAAAATTAAAAATAAAAAAAAATCTTAAAAAGAAGAAAATAATTAAATATGTCGGTTATCGACTTTATCTTAGAACCAATAAGTCAAATAGTTCATGTTCCAGTTTATTTATTGAAATACTTTTCTTCTTTCGTGCTATCATTACCAATGACATATTATTGTAGATATCTTCCAAATAATCCATCATTAAAACATAAGGTATATGGGTCTATTGGAATAATTATGTCATTAATTGTATTTGGACCAATCACATTTTCTATTATCTTTTTAGGGCTTCCAATTTATTATATTGCTAAAACATATCCAACACGTCTTATGGCAACAATAACAACAGTTGTATTAATTCTTCATTTAGCTTGTATTCATTTATATAAAATATTACATACAGGAATGGTATATAATTTATCATTTTCAACAGTACATATGATGTATGTTATTAAATTTAGTACATTTGTCTGGTCTGTTGTTGATGCCCATGAAAATAATATCAAATTATGTGAACATCGTAAACAAATGATGATTAAAACATATCCTTCATTACTTGAATTCTTTGGATATACTTTCTTTTTCCCAGGAATCTTTAGTGGACCATCATTAGAATATATTGACTATATTAAATTTATTACTTTAGAACAATTTAAAAATTATCCAAAAGATAAAATGGAAGGAGATGTTCCACAAATTCCAATGAAATTATTCTACAAACGAATAGGATTAGGAATTACTTTTTATATGTTAGTATGGGCTATATCAATATTTGAGCCATTACTTGCTGATTACTACTTTTTAGAAGCACCTGAATCACATGGATTTTTCTTCAAAATGTTTGCTATTTGGTATACTGGTGAAATGGCATTAACTAAATACATTGGTACATGGTATGTTGCTGATGCGATGTCAATTATTGGTGGATTTGGATTTACAACTATTAAAAATGGTAAAGAAGTATGGGATAAATTTACTAATATTGATTTCCCTGTCTTTTATTTAAGCACATCATTTAGAAATTCAATTGTTTTATGGAATAGATATGTACAGAATTGGTTAAGTAATTATATTTATCTTAACCTTGAAGGAACTAAATTAGATGCTTTTAAAACTGTTATAACAAACCTTGTTAGTGCTTTCTGGCATGGATTTCTTCCTGGATATTATATTTCATTTGGTACTCTTGCTCTTCATACTGAATTAAGTAAATTAATTTATAAAAAACTAACACCATATATTGCTTATTTGACAAAGAATAACAATAAAATGATGACACTTTGGAATATATTCTTAATTATCTTTACTAATTTGTCAATTAAATATAATTTCTGTCCTTTCTTTATGATGACATTTAAAGCTTCATGGGAAATGTTTAAACAGACGTACTTCTGTTTCCATTTGATTGCATTAGTTTTGTTTATTTGGTTAACTGTTGCACCTCCTAAAATTCCAAAAGAAGAAAAGGACAAAAAGAATAATTAATTAATTCTTTTTAATTGAAAAGTCACTTATTTTATTGCAATGATTCAACACAACATAATCCAGCAGAGACTAATCCCATTAATGTAGAAAATTCTTCTGGTAATTTAATTAATCCTAAACCATTCAATGCAATAATAAGTTCTGTTGCAATTTTTACATATCTAATATATCTTTTTAATGGTTCGTCTTGTTCTTCTTTAATATACTCAAGGCCTATTGATGATAATACAGCAACAAGGAATGATAAATTACCAATTGAACTGGTGTAAGGAATAATGGTGTTACTAGTTAGAGATGTGATAGCATTTAAATTATCCATTGCAAAAAAACCAAGCATCCCTCCTGACTTTAATACTCTGAGAAAAAACTCTGGATTTTCATAAGATGAGTCTAGCGTTATTTTAAAGTTGTTCATTTCTTTTAAAACATTACCAATTGCAAAATATTTTCTTGATGTTCCTAACAATGTTACTATTCTCATTAATACTTGCTTTTTAGTAACATCATCATTTGAAGTTAATAATGCAACTAACTTTGCAGCACATTGGATAGTTCTAAAAAAAGCATCTCTTGTTCCATATCCACTCACAAAATTCGATGTCTTCAGAAGAACAGAATTCATTACATCTTATAGTTCAACTTCATTTTTTATTTTTCAATGATTTTTATAAATTAAAAAGTATAATTAAACTAATCTATTTTTTTTTTTTTCTTGAATTGATAAAATTCAATTAATTAATAGAAAAGTGATATAATTTTATTTGTTGATATGAAAAGACAACATTCTACCATGAGTTGTTTTTTTGAACGGTAAGTGATATAAAAACAATTGAACAATGAGAGAAAGAAATATGAATAAGAAAGAGGTTATTGAAACTTCTGATGATGCTTTTTTTGAAGTTTTACCTTCTGTGGAAAGGAAAGAACAATCATCAAGTATCTTTTATTCAAATGTTAGAAAAACAGAAGTTGGTATTTCAGATGATAGTTCTTATGGAGTATTTTCCCTTGATAAAAGAGATGATAGTTCAAGTGGATCTTTTTTGAGAAGGCAATATCCATCAAATGGTACTGAATTTTCAAGTCCATACTTATCTAACACACCATTACCAATATATTCTCCAGGACCAAAAGAATGTTTTATTGTAAATATGATTAACCAAGGAACAATTAATCTTGTTGGAGAAGTAGAATTAAACAAAATCAAGGAAAAAGAAAAAATTGAACATCCAATGGCTGTTAAACAAGAATTTATTTTATCAGAACATCAAAAATTTTGTCCTATAAATAGAAGAAAGAAAAAAAAAACAATACATGAAGATTCTTCTCGATGTGAATCTGACAGTGAAATTATAAGTGAAAGGAGTGAATTGTTTATGGAAGATAGTATTGAAACATATGTAAAGGAACAATTATTTATAAAAGGAAGACATTTCAAAAAATTGAAACAATGGATTGGGTTATCTAAATATAAAATCATTTTCGATAGTTATTTTGATGACTTAGTAACAGACGTTTTTAACCAAAAGGTTGAAGGTAAGCCAAATACCTCTATGATTATTGTGACTAATAATAATTGGGTTTTTGGTTGTTTCAATAAACTAAAAATACCAATAATTAATAGTCAAGAAGAGACTCATGGATTGAGTGATAATGGATTTTTTATCTTTTCATTGAACAACCCACATCACACAATGCCAATTAAAATCACACAAAAAGAAACAATTCCAGGAAAGTTAATATTATATCCTAAAGATTCAAATCAATTATTTGGGGTAGAAGATGCATTTATTATTTCTCAATTACCAAACGAATCATATATTTTTAGAAATATTGAACAATATTATTTAATACCATCAGTAGTTGGAAAAGAATTATTTACTGGATGTTGTTATCCAGACTGTTTTTGTGTTGATAAATTATTTGTAATAGAATGGTTTTGAACTAGCAAAAGAATGATATTCTAATGTCCTCTTTTCTCATTAGATGCTTTAATTGATCGTTCAATACATAATTGTATAAATGGGTCATTAATTTGTATAAAGTCTAATAATAAAATATTAATTGGAAATGATTCAAGTTCTTTAGAATGAAGAAATTGAAAGAAGTTTTCTTTAACTTTATATGAAACACCTTTCAATGATTTTGAATTAGAAACTGACAAATAACATGATTTAATACTTTTGTTAGTAGGAGTTAGAATAATTTGAAGAATTGTAATACCAGTCCTTCTATTATTAATCCAATTCATTCCATCTGTTAAAATTCTTTGACTAACCTCTTGGAATGTTGGTCTGTCTGGCCAATAGGAATGAATAAAGTCTTGACCCCAGATATATGGAACTCTTTTAACTTCTTTTGGATAATCGTAAAATATAAAAACTCGTTTATTACTAGTAACTAAAACTTCAAGTGGAATGTTAAGATTATTTGGATTACATTCTACACTAATTCCATTGAATAAACAACTTATTATTTCTAAAATTTTTTCATTGTCTTCTTTGTTCATATTATAGATATGATTAATATCAAGAATTATGACTTCTTTCTTATGATGCCAAATAAATTCACTCAGTTGTGTTAATATTACAACAAATAAGTCACAGTACAAACCATGTACTGTATAAATATCATCTTTAAATTTTTGAATTCTTAAATCAAAATATCTAACCCCTTCTTGTAATTGTTGGTGTATGGTGAGTGTTTGTGTCTCTGACCAATCTTTAACAAATCCATTCATTATAATAGGAAATGAGTCATAAGGTTCTGCTGCTTTAATTTGGGTTTTAGTATTATAACTAAAACAGTTATGAGAACCAGCCAAACAAATCTCCTTAATTGTAAGATTTAATACATTTGACTCACCCATCCAATCAGATTTATCATTTAAACGTGACATTTACACAATCATTTTTCTAGTTTTTAGTTTCTTTTTTATGAGAAAAAAACAAAATAAAAGAACTACGAACATAATT